CCTGGCTGCTGCTTGTTTGGGCCTCTGCAATGACTATCGGGGCACATGAGGCAGGTGTCTAGGACCCACTAGAGGGGCTTTTACTGCCCCTTTCACACTTGTATACGTCCAGCATTTCTAAATAGTCCCTATATAGCAAGTGGGCATCCCAGGGCCAATCTCAGTGTGGGCCTGCCCACTTGTTTCTGCGCAAACCATCCACCCACCTCGCCTGCCGTGCTTTGATGTTCACGATTAAATTATGTTAATCAGGAGGAAGGCTGCCCTTTACCTGCCCTGATGACAAGGGCCTATGTACATGACCCCGACCTTCCCTTGTTGTGTCCTGTGCCTCGCAGATGTTTCATGGCCTAACATCCGGCCTTATCACGTTTCCAATGTAAGCTCTGCGCCTCACTAAGTTATAACCTTTATCCCTTCACCTGGAGCTCCTCAAGGCTCAGGTCCCCATCCCACCTGGAGTCTTACTCCTGGCTCCGTAGCGTAGCCTCAGACTCAACTGCGAGTCTGGGCACTGCCTCATGTCCCTCCACCTGACCTGGGGCCTGCCTCAGTACTCACAGTGAGCCTGGGCTCCCCCTGTGTTGATCAAACTACCCACCAGGGATGTGGGGGCTGGGGTTATAAGGGTCCCCATACTTGCCTTTCACCAGGGAGCTTAACTGGCCTGGCATTTCTGGGAGGCTGTTCCATCCCATCACAGACAGCCCCACCAGAGCACCCTTCCTTGGCAGGGTGCAGTTTTCTGTCATATGCAGAACATGGAGCCGTGCGCCATCCCCATAGCTTCTCCCTTAGCTCTGAGTTGTACTGAGCAGCAGCTCAGCCAGTGGTGTCTCTCCAGCTGCTGGCAGCAGACTGCTGCCTTGTTGTACAGGGCCCAACACTTATTTATAACAGCTGGGCTCTGTTCCCCAATCAGGCAGCATTGCCTAATTGGGAAAACAGCCAGCTGCAGGCTGCCTGGTTGCTGTCCACTCACCTGGGAGTAACAGAGCATGCTGTGCTCTGTTACACCTTAACCTGTTCTTTCACCGGTATTGGCTGCTCAACTCCTCCCCACACTGTGCTGCCAGTGCAGTAGTCTGGGACCTGACCTTGCCTGTCAAGACTGAGGTGAAAAGGGCGTTGAGTACTTCAGCCTTTTTTCGCATCCAGTAAGGGACCCACATTTTCCCTCATCCTCCCCTTGCTACCAACATGTTTGTAGAAACCCTTCTTGTTCCCCTTTATGTCCCTTGCTAGCTGCAACCCCAGTTGTGCTTTGCCTTCCTGACTTCATCCCTGCATGCCCGAGCAATACTCTTATACTCTTCCCTAGTTGTTTGTCCAAACTTCCACTTCTCTTAAGTTTCCTTTTTGTGATTTAGCTTACTGAAGAGTTCTCGGCTAAGTCAGTCTGGTCTTCTGCTGTACTTTCTAGTCTTGCTAGGAAAATACTTTGTTCCTGCACTCTCAGTAAGGTTTCTTCGAAGTAGAGCCAGCTCTCCTGGACTCCTCTCCTCCTCAGGCTGGATTCCCAGGTCATTCTGCTCCTGAGTTCGCTGAGCAAGTCAAATTCTGCTTTTCTGAAGTTCACAGTCCTTACTCTGCTGCTCTCCCTCCTTCCTTTCCTCAGGATCATCTGATGGTCATTGATGCCCAAGTTGCCATCTGCTTCTTCATTTCCCACCAATTCTTCCCTGTTTGTGAGCAACAGGTTAAGAAGAGCACGGCTCCTAGTTGGCTGCTCCAGCACTTGCAACAGGAAGTTGTCCCCAACACTCTTGAAAAACTTACTGGATTGCCTGTACACTGTTGTAATGCCCTCCTAGCAGATGTCAGGGTGATTGAAGTCCCCCATGAGAATCAGGGCCTATAATCGAACACATCTGCTAGGTATTTGACGAAAGCCTCATCTACCACATCCTTCTGGTCTGGTGGTTTATAGCAGACCCCCACCATGACATCACCCTTGTTGCACTCCCCTCTGACCCTAACCCAGAGACTTTCAACAGGCCTATCTCCAGTTTCATACTGAAGCTCTGGGCAATCATATATGGCTCTTTTACATACTCCTCCTCTTCTCTCCTGCTTGTCCTTCCTGGACAGTTTGTACCCATCCATGACAGTGCTCCTGTCATGCAAGCTATCCCACCAAGTCTCTGTTATTTCAGTCACATCATAGTTATGTGATTGTGCAAGGACTTCCAATTCTTCTTGCTTGTTTCCCAGGCTCTGTGCATTCATGTACAGGCACCTTGGCTAACTAGCGGACTGCCCTGATTTCTCAGGAAGAATGAGAATGCCTCTACATATACATCCTTGTCATGGTGACAGCCATCTTGTGAGCTAAGTCTACTTAACTAATGCGACTCAAGATAATACACATTGGTGGTATATTATCTTGTGCCAAATTTAAGCCAGCTGTGCTCCACGTACATATGTGTGCTCTGACAGTTAAGCTGGTTTAACTGTCAGAAGGTTTTTACATGTGTATGCACCCAAGGTCTTTATAATGGGTAGCATCAAGCACTAGGATTGGATTAGTCTTACTTGTGGAAATTCCTGTTGATGATATGCCCTACATTCTGTACGTTTGATTTTTCCAATCAAATGCACGCTTATCCTGTTCTATAGAGACTGATGATTTTCCAGGACATTCGGCTGTATTTTGGTAGTGCTTTCTTGTTTTCTACACCTATCAAATGTTGTTAGTGTAATTCAGATAACACACGTGGGAGACCCAATTCCCCCCCCCGCCCCCCAAAAAAGCCTGTTCTGTTGCATCAGAGGCTTTCTTATTAGAAAATAAAGATGAAATATGTTCATGTTTCCTTGTAGGACTTTCTTCCTTATTACTATTCTTTCCCTAATTGTCTATTACAGTGCTCTCAACCCTCCCTATTATCTATTCCCATATGGAGCCATTCAAAGTCTATCTGCCTAGTTTTTAGATGACTGTGGGTGCGCTGACATGCACATTAAGTAAATATCTGTAATAACAGGTACTAAATGCGCAGTAACTGGTGCTACTGTGCAGTAGTGCTGACATACAGTTTTCTTGTGACGGTGGTGTGCAGTATTCTAATTCTACTGTGCATCATCATGCTTTTGCCAGGATGTGCTAATGCACAGTAGAATTAGTCTACTGTGCATTTAGTGTCTCATGTAGATGCACCGTGGGAGCAGTAGCCTGCTGTCATAAAACCTGTATTGATTAATTCCCTCAGTGTTTCTTTAGTAAAGGAGCAAGCGAGCTAAGCATCAGCCATTGTTCTTTCTTTCCTGCTATCCATCTCAGTAGGCTTTTGATGGCTTTCATAGTGTTAACACCTGTCAAGCGTGACTATTAACTTCCACAGAGTCCGTCAGATACGGTTAAATTTGAGTTACTGGCATGAAAGGAGAGCTCTCATTAACATCTCTCAAGCCATTCAGGCCTTCTCTTTTATTTTAAATATTTTTTTCCATATTGTATCTCTGGGCATTTATATACATACATTTGTCTGCTAGTGCATCGGAGCAGACTCAATTAATCTTCAGTGTATTTTAGCTCAAAAGTGTGCCACCACCATTTTTTCAGTGGTGACAGGCATTTTGCCATTTATACAAAAGATGTACCACAGCGCCAAGCACTTTTAAAAGCTCCCGGCACTGCAATGCAGACATGTACAAATGCCCTCTGTGCCCAGTTGTCAGAATTACTGCCCTACTTTGAAAACTGCAGATAGGCTCTATAGGTGTAAAACATTGTTAGAGAAGCCAGGCAGCTTGCCCCAGGTTATTACAGATGCCTTAATGTCCTCAAGTCATGCTTACATTATCCTTTTTTGCTCCCTTTGCACTTGCTGTCATTAGTTTAATCTTGATAAGGTTGACTATTTGCTCGCAGTGCTCTATGCAGTCTCATTCTGTCACCTCTGTAGAAATCTCCTGACCTGATCACTGAATTAAATGAACAGTTTGGGGCCACTTGTCTTTACTATATACAACAGGGATTGCTTCATCTCCAATTTTCTTGCATAGGCCAGCCTGTGTTTGTGGGTTTCACTGCCATAATTAAGAGTAATTTCAGTTCTACAGATGCAGGTTTGGTGGGTCAATGCATGTATAAATGGCCTCTATGGATTAACAGTTGTTAATGCTGAATTAGAGCTGTGTTAATGTGTCTGGGGCTTCTTGGAGTTTGTCATAAGGGGGAATGAGTGTTAATGAGTGATTTTAAAGTGCCAGCAGTTAACATATACACACACTGAAACACTGAGGAATAAAGAGCTAGTAAGTGTCAGTCATATAGGAAAAGAGTGAAACTTTCTGAAATAACCAATGTGCCTGACTGGTGCCAAAACTTGTAAATGAGCAGCCCAGAGAGAATCATTCTGAGTTATTCTGAAGGGTGAGTGTTCAGAGAGAATTGTGTGCAAGCGGTGGTTTAGACTCCTGACAACAGTAGTAAGACCTGCCTTGGCTGATGAATCCAAAGGCACTTACTGAACTATAACTGTCTGGGGACAGCAAGGTGAAGCAAGGTGCTCTGCATTTAGAGGAAAGGTAAATTGAGGGCAGAGACCAGAGGGAAAGATATTCCTCTGCCTTAGATGTACTCCTATCTGTAGTGCAGAGATTGGATAGATATTTTTTTTGTCTGAGAAAAATTAAGGACAGTTGACCTTGTTGGGATTTGACTTTTTTGCTTCTTGGAAGTCTCATTCTTACATATTTGAAGTTTAGTGAAATTTGAATGGTGAATACTCATCTTTGACTTTTATCAGTACTAGTTCTTGGTACTCTGGGTTATATTTGTTTAAAATATACAGGCCCACAGACTGAGATTAAATGCTGAAATAGACTGGTAGGAAGTCCCTTAAAATAGATAGCTGTTCTCTTTTGCATGTTTTAGTCTTTCCATGTGACTAATTAGTATATTTTACTAGAACAAATAATGCTTTTTCCCCAACAGTGTGCTCTCTTAGCTCAATACATAGTAATCATATGTGGTGTAATTTTTATTTTTTCAGATTGTTCCCTTTGCATACGCAAATTTCTGTCCTATAAAACTCAGTGTCCCACGTGCCGTGTGGTAAGTGGTTTTGGGCTTTTTTCTTCCCTGCCCCCCCACCCCTCTTCCCCCCTTCTCCTTGTCATCTTTTGTTTGTTTCTGGCAAATTTTCAGTGTCAAGGTCATTTCCCCTTTGGGTCTAGTTGGTTGCTATTGGTTCAGGGCATACAGAAGGGCCTCCTATCTTATTTATGTAGGCCAGCATTTTCAAGCTTTGGAGCCTAAAATTCAGCACTTAAATCTATACATAGATGTGCACCTGAAATACATGACCTGAATTTTCAAAACATCCACAACTCTAAATGAGACCCAATACATATTTAGGCATCCAAGTTTGAAAACATGGCATTGGGATTAATATTTCAGAGACCAGAGTGATTTCTTCAACTGGAGAAAAAATCAGGGTTGACATACTTAATGAGCCATTGGAGCAAGTGTTGAGTTTTACGTATTTGGATACAATCTTGGTGGAATGCCTGACGCGAAGGGTGACTGTGCCTGAAAGCTTGCTAAGAACTTTTTTCCAACTACTCAGTTGGTCTAATAAAAGATATCACATCTACCCAAAGAAGCTTGCCTTACATGTATAAATGAAGCAATTCATAGGCCAGGCAATGCATGAGTAATGGTAAAGAATTTGAATGTTATATAAACAAGTAGCAGCTTACGAATTAAATGATGACAAACGCATTGAACACTCAGGTATGGCCAGTAGCCACATACAGCTGTGAGATTTGGACCCCTAAGAAGGAAAGGAGTTAGAGAAAAAATGACAGGAATTTAGATCATGTACTACAAAAGGATAACGGATGTTTCTTGGACCCAAAGAAAGATTCAACAAATGAGTACTTGTTAAGATTGGAGCCAAACCTGAATTGATGCAAACGTTGAAAAATTAGAACGTGAAGTATTATGGGCACAGTCTTAAGGATAAAGGAAGACCTCCCAGAAAAGGAAATAATTGAAGATTGTGTCTGGGAAGAGGGGGTGGGGGGGAAGTTTTTTTACCAAGGAAGAGGTTGAGTTTATAGTTCTATGTAGCTAACTCCTATCTGTTTATGGTATTGTAGCATTTTCTCCTGTCTGGCCTCAATAAGGGGTTGGATAAAATTGGCTGCCTCTAGAATGATTGGCATTGTGAGATTACTTTTGTGTTGCACAGAATAAGTAGCTTAATAGATTCAGTACTAGTGTTATAAATAGAATACCATATAACACAATATCTGTAGAGTGCAGCGGACTTTGGAGTAGGGGGGAGAGGGGTAGCAGCATGATATACAGCAGAAAGATGGGAGGTATTGGTTATGGTTGTTAGGGTAAGTCCCTTTTCTTCTGAACACTGCTGTGGGATCAGAACCATTCCTGGCTCTACAAGGTGTAGAACAGGCAAGAACTGGATTGTTGGTCAGGAATTGGTTTTGCCTGCAAGACTGCTTCTGAATGAATGGCATGGAATGAGATTAATTTAGGCTCTAATCTAGGTCAGTCCAGTTTGGTTTTACTGGATTCTATGTAAAAAAAACAAACAAACCAAAAAAGCAAAATAACCCACCCACCAAGACTGCCTAGAAACAGTGAATAGCATTTCTGAAGTGCTGGTGAAATACAGGTAACTGTCATTCTGTATCCAAGTTAGATTAGATATTGCTTGAGGCTAAGATTAAAAAAGGTCTGCTTGTAATACTGAGCGCATTTACATGTTCATTAATGTGCTTTTGCTACTGCGCTTGTACCTCTAATGTGAGGTACTAAATAAATGCTCATTAGGTTGCCTTAATGTGCAGTAGCAAATGTGCTTGCTTTTTTAGTGACACTTAATGTGCAGTAGCCTGTTTTTACTGTGCATTAGTATATCAGCATGTTTTTTGATGTGACACTTTAATGCACAGTAAATAGGCTACTGAGCATTAAAGCACATGTGTAGACACACCAGTTGTCAACTTTATGTTCAAATGAGTGCAGATTTCTCATTGTACATAACTAGAGCACCTATTTTATTTTTGTCTATTTATAAATCTCATTGGTTGATACAACTAAGAGCTCCATAAGCTTTGGAATGACTTTTTGGTAAAAAAGTGAGAACAAGATAAATATTGGATATCTGTTGGAAAAAAATGCAGAAAACCATCCTGTATCTTTTTATGCCTTAATTATTCAAAGTACAACATTTTCCTTTGCATGTTTTCCCTTCTGTGTTGTTTAATGTTCTTATCACATTCTTAATGATTGGAGCTAGGATGCAATGAAGCATTGTTGGAGACTAAGAGTACTGAATTGTGTGAATTTTTTTCTGGAAAAAAGTATTGTTATTTTAGCCTGTGCTTTTGTTTCCATTATTTTCCAGACTTGCAGTCAGTAAATGCTTAATTTCAGGGTCTTGGATTTTTTAAATCTCTCGTTTACATCTCATTTCCCTGTTTCCTTTGATATGACAAATATTTGAGATTGGTGATTGGAAGAGCAGTGTCTGAAACTCGCATCTGAGAAATTAACTATTACTTGCTTGAACATTTTCTGTTTACTTCTGCTTTATTTGTAGGCAGTCACAGAACCTGAACTGAAAAATAACCGGCTCTTGGATGACCTGGTAAAAAGCTTCAATTCAGCAAGGTAATGCACAGTTTTGCAAAGATCACACATGCTTCCTTACTTAAATAGGTACAGATGTGACTTGACTTTCATTAACCCAGAGAGCATGCTCAAACATATGTATGTTTTTGGAATTGGAGAAGTAGTCCCAGTATTACCCAAAGAGAGCAAACCATTGCATATCTTCATGTCTCTGTTCCATACAGTAGATGAATTAAGAAGGGCGTGTGGGCAGTTTAATATGTCATGAGACTAGATGGTGCACAGATTGGATCATTTTGGAAAAAAGGGCTGATTGTTAGATGTATTTTGCAGACTTAATTGTTAAAAAGTTACATGTGGGGAACTTGTTGTCTTAAGATTGTTTACTCTAAGTCTAAGAATCGTATTTCATGATGTGGTATATGCAATCTGGCCTTAAAATAAAAAGATATATTAAACATTTAAGGAAGAATGAAGGGGTGGGGTTTGACTTTCTTTTTAAAAACTTCTTAGTTCTTTTTTCTGTTTGGCCAAAGCATCTTTGTTATTCTGAACTCAGGCAGAACTTGAACTTTCTTGCAAACTTAAGACCTAGAAAGAAAACAAAATCTTCACTGTGAAAAGGGCTGTGTTATAACTTTTGTGAAGGATTCAGTCTCTTGGATT